TAGCAACCTCAAACTCTTGGGCCTAAGTGATTCTCCTGCCTCAGCCTCCCAAGTAGCTGGGACTACAGGCACCTGCCACAATGCCCGGCTATTTTTTTGCTGTAGTAGTCATTGTTGTTTAGCAGGCCTGGGCTGGGCTCGAACCTGCTAGCCTCAGTGTATGTGGCCAGCGCCCTACTCACTGAGCTACGGGAACCAAGCCTATTTAATTTTTTTTAGAGACAGGGTCTCTCTCTGTCATCTAGGCGGGGTGCAGTGATGCAATTATAGCTCACAGCATCTTATATAAGCATATAAGCATGTGTGTATACATATGCGTGTGTGTGTGTATATATATATAATATAGTTGTTGTTTTTGAGACAGAGTCTCAGTTTGTTGCCCTTGGTAGAGTGCTGTGGAATCTATAGCTCACAGCAATCTCAAACTCTTGGGCTCAAGCAATCTTGTCTCAACCTCCTATAAAACTGGGACTCCAGGTGCCCACCAAGATGCTGGTTAGTTTTTCTTTCTTTCTTTTTTTTTTTTTTAATTTTTAGTAGAGATGAGGTCTCACTCTTGCTAAGGCTGGTCTCAAACTCCTCAGCTCAAGCAATCTGCCTGCTGTAGCCTTCCAGAGTGCTAGGATTACAGGCGTGAGCCACCATGCCCGCCATGTATTTTTTTCATGTGAATAGATATACTCTTTTTGCCCAAATGGAATCATGCATGCCTGTAAAGAATTATCTTATTCTGTTTCAATAGCTGCATCACAGCTTCACTGTTGTTATGATGTGGCTGCAGCATAAGTTGAACAGTTCTCTATTGATAAGTTATTACTTCATATGATATAATATTAAAGTATATTCTCAAACAAATCATGAAGTAGGACCAGGAGCAAAATAATCCATTAAATAAATACTGTATCTTGTTAGAACTGCAATATAAAATAAGACAGATAAAGCGGTGGTAGGAAATGTCAGTATAGGCCTATAAGAGATTGATACATTTAGTTAATTTTTCCAGCGATATATTTATCTTGGTAGAGCTGAAAAATGCTAAAGATAAACCAAGGTAGAAATCAACTCTTTGATAAATGTTTTAAAATGGGGCTGAGTATAGAAGTGCACACCAGCACTTTGGGAGGGTGATGCAGGAGGATCTCTTGAGGCCAAGAGTTCGACCAGCTTAAGCAACAGAGGGGACACTATCTCTACAAAAAAATACAAGAACCCCCCCCCAAAAAAAACCCCACCAAAGCTAGGCATAGTGGCTCTGCATCTATAATCCCAGCTGCTTGAGAGACTGAAGCAGAAGGATCACTTTAGCACAGTGAGCTATAATTATGCCATTGCACTCTAGCCTGGGGAACAGATCAGGAATTTGTCTCAAAAATAATTTTTTAAATCTTTTTAAAATTTAAAAATGGTAAACATAATTATATAATTCTATTTTCTGAAGTAATATTTAAAATACTCAGATCAAATTATACAGCTTAAAAGCTTTGAAAGGTCTAGGCACAGTGGCTCATGCCTATAATCCTAGCACTCTGAGAGTCCAAGGCAGTTAGACCACTTGAGTTCAGGAGTTGGAGACCAGCCTGAGTAAGAGTGAGACTCCATCTCTACTAAAAATAGAAAAACTAACCAAGTGTTATCACAGGTACTTGTAGTCCCAGCTACTTGAGAGGCTGAAGCAAGAGGATTGCTTGAGCTCAAGAGTTTGAGGTTGATGTTAGCCAGGAGATCCTGGCACTCTACCCATTCTACCCAGTGCACAGACTAAATAAATAGATAAATAAATAAAAGCTTTGAAGGTCCTATTCTCTCATAATGATTTTTCTCTATAGTAAAAAAAAAAATTGTATTTGATCTCTCATAGACTCAGTTTATATATGACTGTATTTATTCAAGACTAAAACAAAGTTTCCAGGCATGGTAGCTCACATTGTAATCCTAGCTACTCAGGAGGCTAAGCGAGGATTGCTTGAGGCCAGGGGTTCAACACCAGGTTGGGCACATAGCAAGACCTTGTCTCTAAAAAACTAAGAAAAAGTAGCTGTGCACACACCTATAGTCCAGGTACTCAGGAAAATTGCTTGAGCCCAAGAGTTTGAGATTTCTGTGAGCTATACGATTCCATGGCACTCTACCAAGGGCAACAAACTAAGACTGCCTCAAAAACAACTATATATATAGTTGTATATATATACACACACTTACATGCTTATATACGTTTAGATATTTTGGAATTTTTTTTCTGAAATTGGTTTTCAGAACTGTTGTCATAGGTCATCTGACAATTAAGTTCAAGAATTCATCCTAAGTGCTTTGAAGGGTAGACTAGGCGTAAGTATCGGTGCATAGCATCTCAAGGGGAGCACTTCAAAGATGAACATGATCCACAGCAATGAAGTATGTACCACTTTTTCTAGTGTAAGTTTCCAAACTTAATTGTCTGACTATGTAGACTTTTACATTGTTCACTTTCTTTTGTAATAATTAGTTTAAAAAATATTTTTCTTTTGAGACAAGAGTCTTATTACATCACCTTCGGTAGAGTGCCATGGCGTCACAGCTCACAGCAACCTCAAACTCTTGGGCTTAAGCAATTCTCTTGCCTCAGCCTCCCAAGTAGCTGGGACTACAGGCACCCACCACAACTCCCGGGTATTCTTTTTTTGTAATTGTCATTGTTGTTTAGCTGGCCTGGGCCAGATTTGAACCCATCAGCCTCAGTGTATATGGCTGCTGCCATAACCACTGTGCTACAGGTGCCGAGTCAAACTTTTATTTTTTAATTTATTTTTATTTTTATTTATTCATATTTTGGGACAGAGTCTTGCTTTCTTGCCCCGATAGAGTGCTATGGCATCATAGCTCACAGCAACCTCAAACTCTTGGATACAAGTGATTCTCTTGCCTTAGCCTCCCAACTAGCTGGGACTATAGGTGCCTGCCACAATGCCCAGCTATTTTTTTTCCTTTTGTTGAGATGGGGGTCTCCTTCTTGGTCAGGCTGGTCTTGAACTCTGTGAGCTCAAGCAATCCACCTGCTTCAGCCTCCCAGAGTTCTGGGATTACAGGTGTGAGCCACCACGCCCAGCCTTTAAAACATTTTAAAGGAACAAAAATAGATGAGTCTATTAATGTTTTTAGAAGTAATAGAATAATATATTTAAGAATTTTTTTCTAGACTCAACTACAAAATACCTGGAAAATAAACAGCCACATTAAAAAAAAAAAAAACAGTCATTTGCATTTGAAACCAGTGCAATTTTTTCAGACACATTTCATACAGAGGATCCAATAAAAATCTATTTAGTGAGAAAAAATACTGGAAGTTAAAATGAGGCAACAATATATGCATAACAACAAAAGGAATTATTAAGCCACCTTAGGTTCTTTGGAAAAAGATAAATTATAAACCAGCAAACCAGCAATCAAGCAAATAGAAACAAGTAAAATAGATAAATAAATGCAACACATCATTTAAAAGTCAATTTTGGCTTTAAAAACCTTGAATACCTACAAATATTTTAATGCAGATGCTGACAGTTTTGATCCATATACAGAATCTGTTCTAATTCTTCGACTTGCTAGATAATAGCCATCAATCATGCTTTCTGCTTCTGAGCTGAATTCCACATTCAAATTCTTTGCAAAATCCAGTAGCTAAATTAAAAGTGTGAAACATCCAAGAGATTAAAGGTTTATTATAGAATCAATATGACAAAAATCAAAAGTATACTGGCATTTTATTTCTGAAAGTTTGCAGATTTTATTTGCATTAAATTGAGTAAATACCTGGGGCCATCCCAAAGTCACCAAGTACTTTAAATCATAGTTTCATACTTGTGAAGAATATTAAAGTTTACCCAGAATAATCTCTTCCCTCTCAGTGCAGAAATGTTCTTTGCAATGTATTTGAATGACTTAGCAACGTCTTTGCTTCCAGTGGGAAAAAGACTCACCTCTCTCAGCTTTCCCTTTTGAACAGCTTTAATTCTTTTTCTTTCTTTTTTTAAATTTATTTT